AAAGGAAGTACTATCTTTCACATGAACATCCGCATACAGTGAGAACTTCACAATTATACCACCATGTCTCACACAGAGGACTCCTAACAGGCTGATAATCAGCTGACCCAATCCACATATTATTCCACTTTTCACTCACAGATAATATTGTCTACACATATGTGTAAAATTAAGCAGTACATTCTAGACTTTTATTCCAGGGAAATCTACCTTATATATATTAAGATACACATATATGTACATTTTTAAGCAAGAAAGAAACTCATTATTTGCTCCAGTTTTTCCCAACTCTCAAACTGAAATAAAGAATAGCACTTGGCCAGACACGGTGGCTCACGCCTGTAATCGCAGCACTTTGGGAAGCCGAGGTGGGCGGATCATGATGTCAGGAGATTGAGACCATCCTGACCAACATGGTGAAACCCCATCTCTACTAAAACTACAAAAAGCAGCTGGGCATGGTGGCGCACACCTGTAGTCCCCGCTACTCTGGAGGCTGAAGCAGGAGAAAAGCTTGAACCCGGGTGGCGGAGGTTGCAGCGAGCCGAGAGCACGTCACTGCACTCCAGCCTGGCCATAGCGCAAGACTCTGTCTTAAAACAAACCAACAAACAAAAGTATAGAACTTATACAAAACTTTGCCTTGTAGAAACAGCCCTCTGTTTTGTGAGGCAGATAAAAGGGCATCCATAATACACTTTCTTACAATATGTTTAGGCATAAGAAGGGCTGAATTTCTTTTTCTACTTAATGAAATTAGGTAATGTATAGCATATAATCTTAATACTGATTTTATACCATTGATTTTACAAAGTTTATTTATAAAATTTTATTATAAAATGTGTATTTTGCTCAAAATATACATGCTATCTTTGTTCACATTTTTTGTTTTGAGACTGAGTCTCACTCTGTCACCCAGGTTGGAGTATAGTGGCATGATCTTGGTTCACTGCAACCTCCTGGGCTCAGGCAATTCTCGTGCCTCAACCTCCCTAGTTGCTGGGATTACAGGTACACACCACCAGCACACCCAGCTAATATTTGTATTTTTAAGTAGAGATGGGGTTTCACCACGTTGGCCAGGCTGGTCTTGAACTCCTAGTTTCAAGTGATCCACCCACCTTGGCCTCCCAAAGTGCTGGGATTACAGCCATGAGCCACCGCACCCAGGTCCTTTGTCCACATTTCAATCCAAACACCCAATCATCTTCCATAGCCCAAAAGGCTTTGTAACATAATAGAGGACAACCCATTTTTGATGCCTGTGTGGAGTCATTATTCTATGGGGACTGGATTTTGTAAGGCTGCTTAGTAGGGGGATTTCCACAGGAGTCAGCAACTTCAGTAACAAAGTGGGGCTGCTTTAGAAAATCCAACTCAACATTAGAAGGTAACACCAGTAGGCACACTTTAGTAGAGAATTCTACACTATGAGCTCCCCTCCTTCTGCTATTCCCATTTGTCCCCAAACTGAAGAAGACGTCAGAGAAGAGAAGGCAGGGAGCATGCTCAACTAGGACCCACCATGGCACACCACCTTCTACTCTTGGTTCATCATATCAAATCTCACTGTATCCTTGAAGCAAGACTGGAAAGAGACGGCATGTGTCATCACATCATTGTACAGATGAGGAGAATGCAGCACAGGGAGGATGAGGGACTTGCCCAAGGTCCACAGCCAGCATCCAGGTCTCCAGGCCATGGGCCTTGGACACTGTGTCCCTGGCTCACATGGCATTAAGCTCCTATGAGACAGGGACCCCAGTCATAACCAGAATCCTGATTGTTCACAACTCACCACATCCTAATCCAGTGTTTGTGCTTTATTTCACCCTGTTGGTTCTGCTTAATTTTCCTACAGTTTCTGAAAAATCCTTTCAACCAAACAAATATATGTTAAGCAGACAGCAATAAATCATTTTACATTCGACTGAATAATTTGAAATAGAAATTCCAGAGACTTGGGAATTTGGTGCAGAGCAGTAAGAAAATTATAGAACACTATCATTCTACTTTTCATCACATTTGAAACTCTAATTTAATGCCAGGTTGCAACTAAAATACTGCAATAACCAAATGGAAAGGATGGTCTTTCATAATATTATATAAAGTTTCTTTGCCTATGAAATTATTATTATTATTATTAAGATGGAGTCTTACTCTGTTGCCCAGGCTGGAGTGCAGTGGAGTGATCTCAGCTCACTACAACCTCCAACTCCTGGGTTCAAGCAATTCTCCTGCCTCAGCCTCCTGAGTAGCTAGGACTACAAGCTACCACCACACCCAGCTAATTTTTGTATTTTTAGTAGAGACAGGGTTTCAACATATTACCCAAGCTGGTCTTGAACTCCTGACCTCAGGTGATCCACCTGCCTTAACCTCCCTTAAAGTGCTGGGATTATAGACATTAGCCACCATACCCAGCCACATTTGAAATTCTTAAAGTGTCCAAAATAACACTGCGGATCATAGCAGATAAGCAGTGAAGTAAAATAGGAGGTGATACATGAAAAAAGGTCAGAGATGAGCCTCTGGCCCCAGAAAAATGTAGAAATGGAAACAGGCAAAGAGCTCAGAGATGAGAAAATACAAATTTGGGGCACTTCACATGATACCAAGAAGTTATCATATGGTATGGTAAAACAAGATTAACTATTTTAACTAAAAATAAACATTATACTTTTTGGGGAAAAGGCTACTAAAAAATAGAGAATTCATGTGTCTACTTTTAGCAAAGTACAATATTACGCTGCTGTGGGCATTGGCATTGTACCACCAAATGCCACAAACCCAAGTGAATTCTTGACACTTGATAACTCAGCCCTTTTTACTCTTGAAATCTAAGTGGGAAACGAATATTTTAAACTGTTCCTGAGTTATAGTTTCGTTAAAATATTTACTTGCTTAATACCAACTGCTTAGCCTTTAAAAACCAAACCATCACAGATTTTCTAGTGAACTGTAAAGGTCTCACACACTTTCACACACATTCACAATATCATCATATTATGAATTTTGGTATGATTTAAGTTAAAAATATCTTTTCTTGAAAATGCTGTATTATATATGTATAGGTCAGAAATTATTGCATACAATTAAAAAAAAAAGCTACAAATAAAGCCCCACCCAATAGCTGATTTTCTCTACGAAACACCAAGAAGGTTTTTCATTTACTGCAGGTCAGGCCACACCACTGGCCACATTAATAGGTTTCTCTGAAGGTCACTACCACCCATCCCCCAATAGACTGGGAGCGCATCCCCATTTCTGATGTGCTGATGGTAGATCTCTTGCCAGCAAATGAATACTCTTTTTTATATTTTCTTCTCCTTAAACATGTATAAAAACTATCTATAATAGTGTATCATCACTAATACAAATTTCTTCTATTTCAGAAGGCATCAAATGATTGTGCTCTCTTTTTTTTAATTTTATTTTTAAGACAGAGTCTCACTCTGTCACCCAGGCTAGAGTGTAGTGGTGCAATCTCAGCTCACTACAACCTCCACCTCCTGGGTTTCAGTGATTCTCATGCCTCAGCCTCCCAAGTAGCTGGGATTATAGGCCTGTGCTACCACTCCCAGCTAACTTTTGTTTTTTTAGTAAAGATGTGGTTTCAGCATGTTGACTAGGCTGGTCTCAACTCCTGACCTCAGGCGATCCACCCGCCTTGGCCTCCCAAAGTGCTGGGATTATAGGTGTGAGCCATCATGACTGGCCTGATTGTATTTGTTAAACTACAAATACCCAATGTATTTCTTCATATATGGCTGTTCCACCTTTTTGACAAATTAAAAAGGTATATGGGTCAGGCGGGGTGGTTCATGCCTGTAATCCCAGCACTTTGGGAGGCTGAAGTGGGCAGATCACAAGGTCAGGAGATCAAGACCATCCTGGCTAACACAGTGAAACCCCATCTCTACTAAAAATACAAAAAAAAAATTCACTGGGCATGGTGGTGAACACCTGTAGTCCCAGCTACTCAGGAGACTGAGGTAGAAGAATCGCTTGAACCTGGGAGGTGGAGGTTGCAGTGAGCCAAGATCGTGTCACACTGCACTCCAGCCTGGGCGACAGAGCAAGACTTTGTCTCAAAAAAAAAGATATGTGGCTTCTTCCCACTGATTCGTATGTTTGAGTTTTAGCTTGGTATACTGTGGTAAAGGTATGTGTAACCCAAGTCTTTAGGGGGCCTTTCTGTGGCACAAATTTTGTGGTCACTGTACATCATCCATCTTCCTGTTATAGTTTTGATATGACAAATATAATGGTCATTTATTACAGATGTTTCCATGTGACTGAAGAATGTAAATAATTCATGTGCTTATTCTTTTCAGTATTAACTTTCTGTGATGAGGTTCCAGTAGCCACTCCCCACCTTCTCAAGCTCCCTTTCAAAGAAATGGCCCATGTAGCTACTCCACACTCAGCCTCTAATCTTGCCCTGGCAAAACTGGCAAAAGCCTTGGTCATAATACAAACAATGCTATCTGCATCATGGAAAGGTTGCAGAGGCTTCAAACAGTCATACACACTAAGTTAGGAGCATGCTGGTTGCTGCAGTCAGTGTCACCAGTGATTTCATAAGCTATTACAAATGCCATCACTGGGAGAAGATTTTTGGGTCCCCTAAAGTATCCAAGGTGACAACCACAATTTACTGTATTCAGAAGCCAGCTGTAGCTATTATGTGCTAAGTGTCTCGGCATTCTGGAAATGAAATGTAACAGCATTCTGGAAATAAGACTTAATAACTCTTAAAAAGCATCACTACCACCTTAAGCTTAACTGCAAAAACGTTTTAAGTATTAACCCTTCATTCCTAACCACAGATCAATGCAAGAGGCTTCCAGACACTAGGTGAGAATGCCAGTATGGCTCATCAGGACATCTGGAGCTCTCCACCCGGCCAATCAACCCCATAAGAAGGACAGAGGCTGAGAAAAGGTTTTGTTATATTTGATTCTAACATAAAAGAAATGCATGAACATGCTACCTACTCTGGTCGGGAAATAACGGCTTGTCTTAAATGTCTTTAAGGTGCTTGAGAGAATGAAGGTGGTGAAGAAGAGAATACAGGACCAAAAGAGGACATCAGGAGTGTAGGGTCCATGATGGCCGCACGCAGATCCCATGAACTCTCCATGCATCTCCTGGCATTCCTGGAGAAATAAACATTCTGGGTGATGAAAGGCAGACACAACCAAATAAATAGCTGTTTCCTCTCAGTCCACCACTCACTGTCATCCCATGGTTGTTGGGAGCAAAGGCTGCAAGCAGCATCCCCTTGACCTTCATGCAGTTGCAGGGTCCTCTCTTGCACAGGCCACTTTGAAGTAGGGTGGCTACTTATGGTCCTAAGACATAGAACCAGAACTGTTCTGAACAAACACTACTTTCAAGGCTCCAGAAGGACCCTGGCAACTTGTATTGTTCTCACAGAGGACCTCCAAACTTGAAGATTCTTCAACCCCACATGTCTGGATCTGCCTCCTGTCCTGCATGGTTTCATCCCCACCTACACTTAGCACATGGTCACTGGGTAGGATGTGGGGGAAGAAAAAAGAAGGGTAATCTTCTCCCCTTATGTACAAGAAAAGGATAAAAGAAAGTGAGTAAGAATTGTTTTTTTAAAAAGATTTATTTTGGTAAATGCTAGAGTTTGCCAAAAGGCTACCCCTCCCTTTCACGTAGTAGTCCCTCCTAAACCTGTGATCACAATGCTGGGACATTGGGCAGCTCCCAGACTTACACTGACAGTCAGGTTAGCCCAGTGGACTTCTGCTGTTACGATGTTGTGGTCCTTCCAGTACTGCAGGGTGTGATTGTTTGGATTCTCTGGAAGAGTACACCTGCAGCTGAGGGGAAAAATTAAAAAGATTCCTGAGGAAAACAGCCAAATATTCAGTGAAATGTTTTTAGACACAACTGGTTTAAAGGCTGTCAGGAGCTGCCTTGCTTCTCCTTTGCATACTTCAGACCTGAGGAGTTGAGGCCCCTCTGTAGGCCCAAACATATTCTAATTTTTCAGTTGGTCATTACTAAAGTTGGACTCAAATAATCCCATGGATCTTGGATTAAACTGTGCTGACAATAATGTTTGGTATCTGATGTGCCCAGAATGAGTCCTGATTTTTTTTTTTTGCCCGATTTCTATCTCTTAGGCTCTTGCTATGAAATTTAATCTACATCACAAGGAGGTCTCGATATCCCACTTACTTCTCAACAACTTCCTTCAAGCCTGAATATCTTATTCCCTATACCCTTCATCATGCTCTTGTTCTAAAAGTCAGAGTCTTCTGGAGCCATGATGTAAGCACTTCCTGACACTGTATTACCTTTGCTAATATCCCACTACCTTAGCCATTCCCTGGCTACTCATGGTACAGCCAGACCTAGAAATTCCTTTAGCTTCCCCAGGCCTCCTGTTCCAGCCAAACCAGACCAGATCAGACCACACCTGTGCCATTGGCCACCACGTTGCCTCCCAGTCCCAGCATGCTTCCTGCCTGACATGGCTCCCAATATGGTCAACTGACACAGCCATCCTCACTAACTTTGTATGGTCTATAAATTTAATAAGCATGCCTTCTAAGATATGGCATGATGGAATTAAAATTCAAAAAGATCTCAACAGGTTAGAATAATAGGAAGAAACTGACAAAATGAAAAGTAATAGGGAAAGCTATAAAGCCCTATACTTAGGTTTTAAAAAATCAGTTCCAAATAAATAAACCATGGTACATCCAGACAGTGGAATATTAGTCGGCACTAAGAAGAAATGAACCACCAAGCCGTGAAAAAACATAGAGGACCTTAAATGCATATTACAAAGTAAAAGAAGCCAGTCTGAGAAGGCTACATACTACATAATTACAACTATGACATTCTGGAAAATTCAAAACTATAAAGACATAAAAAGATCAGTGGTTGTTAGGAGTTGGGAGGAAGGAGAGAGCAACAGGTGAAGCCCAGAAGATTTTTAGGGAAGTGAAAGTATTCTGTATGATATTATAATGGAGGATACATGTCATTATACATTTATCAAAATCCATAGAATGTACAAAACCAAGAGCCAACCCTAATGTAAACTATGGACTTTGGGTAGCAATAACGTGTCAGTGTAGGTTCACTGATTATAACAAACTTACCACTCTGGTATGGGATATTGATATTGGGGGAGACTATGTGTGTGCTGGGGTAGGGGAATATGCGAACTCTCTGTACTTGCCGTTCAACTTTGCTGTGAATCTAAAACTGCTTTAAAAAATAAAGTCTATTTTAAAAAAATCAATTCCATACATATTAACATAAAACCATTTAAAGAGTTGAGGAGTTCTAGCTTCACATCAGCACCATATGAACTAACAGTAGAATCAGACAAAAAAAAAAAAAAAATACATCTTGAGCTTTATTAACAAATTTCTTTCCGGAACCAAAGTCTACTCAATCCAGGGTTGGTCACTTTGCCTGTCTTCTCTCATTAGGATATAAGCCTCATAAAGACAGATCCTTTCCATGTTCACCGCTATGTTTCCAAGGCCTAAAACAGTGCTTGGTACATAATAGGTGCTCAATCAATATTTGTTAAAAAAAGAAATTAATGATAAAAAGAGGTCAAAGAATGAACCTTACAGAAATAAGAACTCCAATGCCAATAAGAGCCAATTCACTAGGCATTGAAGATTATAATCCCTAATCATTTACTTTCTAGTAGAATAAAGTTCTAATAAATTTTTTATTAATTCTGATTTTTAAAAGGTTAATGAGTGAATAACTAGAATAGATGAAAGTGTATCTGTTGCTGGTTGGCAGATGCATCCAGGCAGTGTACTCTCTCTTCTGAGGCAGTTTTGAACTGAAATTGTTCATTTCACAACCAGATCCTCCACATCAGAACTGTACAGCCAGAACTTGATGTACAGAGCTAAGGGAAGAGGATCTTTAGTCATAATTTGGAGAATGCTGTTCAAGAGAAGAAATGTTTATAGGACCAGAGTGTCCTAAATGGTTGAAAACACAGCCAGATACTGTGTTTCTTTTCTAGACGATCCAAACCATATTGAACACATAAAGAAATCATAATCTCCGGAGTTGAAATCTAGGAAGTAAGTAGGTTTCTAGATCTTTATGATATCATGTGAGATGCCTCAGGATCTTAAATAAATTATTAATATAGCTTCACCTAATAATTCCTAAGAGTTGCCTATACATGCTTTCAGAAAAAGAGAATCCTTCATTTCAACAAAGGAGCTAAGAGAAAAAAAAAGAAAAAAAGAGAGAAAGAGTCCATTCTCTCACTTGATAACATAGTCTAGGGGCTCACAAATCCTTGCAAAAAGTTCTTCCCCATAATGAATTCAAATTCTCCCTGCTACATTTGTCGCCTATTTTTATTTCAGTGCCTAGAACCGAAAGACCTGGCCTGGAAAGCACTTCTTGAGTACCCTCTGTGTTTCACTTTCAGTCGATCTTCTCTGTCAACACTTTTGATTGTTCTCTTCTGGCAGCCCTCCAATTCTCCTCATCCATATCTGAGCTCCATTTCCCAATGGGCAAGACACTTCTTTACTAGAAGCTGTAAGCACTGCCTAGCACTCTCTATCAGCAATTAAACTCAGGCCCTTTGCTCAATTTTCTAAAATTAAGCAGAAAGCACACTTACTAATAGAGGCTAAGGTGGTCCAGCTGGCTGTGCATGTGGATGGGATAGGTCTCTGCCAGATGAATCAGTTTTTCTATTGCTTCGTAGATGAAAATAATGCAAATTAGGGAGGCAAATGCTTCTTCAGTGAAACGGGTAATGTAGCAGACAAGGGAACTGGCATCAGTTGCCACAAGGACAATACACAGGAAAGCAGTCCACAGTCCAATACAAGCTCGCAGGGAGAGGTATGAAAGAGCATAGTCTCTGAAACAAGACCAAAGTTCATCAGAAAGCATGAATGGATGGCATTAAGAGACAAGGAGTCAGAAATGTGGTTAATTCAACTCATCTAAACCAGCACTGGAACCCAATTTATCCTAATTCTGTATGCATTTTACTCCTAAATAACGCTCTGGCACAGTTGTGATACAGATTTGCTTCACAGGATATGGGCAAGGATAGGAAAACTGAAAAAAGAAATTGTCTCTTATACATTCCTGCCATTACTACCTAATGTAATTATGATCTTATTCTTGTAGTAAGAGAAAAAGGGGCTGGCCCTAGTCCCATGAGCTACTACTTGAAATATAGAAGGAAAAAAGAAAAGACTGTATAGGAAAAGTAGGGAAACCAGAGCACTCTTGTGCCCCACTATTACTAGCAATATATATGTATGTATACACACATATATACATACACATATACATATGAAGGGGGATATTAGGCCAAATTACAAATTGACTTGCAATGGAAATGATGAAGTTTGAAGTAGCTAGGAAAAGTCTTTTTAAAGATAAAAAGTCAACACTTCAATAATGGCTGAGGGATATTAATCAAGCTCTTTAAGAATAGGAGATCTGCTATTTTGGGTATGGTGCTACCTAGGGGCAGGACAACAGACCAAATGTTGTTCTCCTTCCAGGTTTCTTACAATCCAGAATCATACTGCCTGTCTGTACTCAATCAGAACCCTGACATTTAACCCTGGCAGCATAATCACTAAATCTGTTAGATTTTTCAGAAAAACAAATGTCTTACTTGCAGAATTTGAACAAAATCTTTTCAAACACAAGCACTGGCCCAGTACTTCCCAGGATGGTGAGAGCCTGTCCCGCAAACAAGGAATAAGCAATCCCCGTCATGGAGGCGCCAAACAAGGATTCAATCGCACTCTAAGAGGAAAAAAAGTCATCACTGAGTCCACAGCCCATCAGTACGAGTAATAATGGCTTAGGTACATTCCCGACTTAGCTCTCCTGTGTGCTCTGATGCCCATTTGCTTGTATTTCAGCTTAGCAAGAGTGATATGTACACACCATCTAATACTCCTGTAAACAGATACTACTTTAATAATTCAGGTGCCCAGATCCATTGGCACATCATTCCTTAACTAACTCCTATTCTTTAGTGACTCAATTCAGTATTTGAAAATATATAGAAAGCACAGTGATACCACTCACACTACAAGCTCACATACAGAGTCACTTTAAATCTTATTTTAAAATGGCATCAATATATCCATTTTCCATCACTGAAGCAATAGAAAACTCAACTGAGCAACCAGCTACTGAAGCTGATGTTCAAGCAGAATAGTCTGTTCTAAAGAGAGAACTGTGTTGTTCTTTGGTATGATGTCAGAAGACCATGGTAATTCAGAGGAAAAATCCAATCTCTTCAGTCCTAGACCGGGTAACTCCCCCCAGTCCCCAGTGGACTTGGCTGCCGCCGCAATATTTTAGGTCTTATTTGGGACCATTCGAAGTGGTTAAGGACTCTTACTATGCGTCCCTCAGTGGCTTCTCCAAGCAATCCCCCAAAGGTGATGACAGGTGACATGCAGGCACAGTACAGGAACAGAAAGGAGGCCAAACACTGTAAGCTGAGTGCATCCCGGTAGTCGCTCCAGTACCAGGGGGCCTTCCGCTTGATGTCCAACACCAAGCCCCCAAATAGCCTGTGGAAACACAGTAGATAGGCCTCTAACGCAGTCCTTCTTCCCTAAAAGCACGTGAACAGCACGCATTTGAAAGCATTTCAAATGAACTCTGTTTAGAGGTAAGACTTTGGCTTCAGTTTGACCCCAGAACAGATATCTCTCTCAGGTCAGCAGAGTCTCTTTGCAACCAAGGGTATAACTTATGGTAAATTTGAATGAATATCCTAAACATACAAAGAATTAACTTAGATATGCATATTATCCATTTAATGAAAAAAATTCAAAAAAATTAACAAGAAAGTAAGTATTACCTTCAAACTAGATTCTGAGCTGTTAGGAGGAAATGTGCAAAACCAACTTAAGGTATTAAAATTATTAGTTTTATTACGTGTTTTCTAGATAAAAAGACCCTATCACATGCACTTTCTTACTCTGAACAACTACCCACCTTACTTGTGAGAAATTAGCATAATAATTCATTCATGCAATTGACAAGTAGGAGCAGATACCTGGTGCTAGGCACTGTGTCAGGTACTAGAGATGCAGCAATGAGCAAGACATGAACAGCCCTGCTCTCCAGGACCAAGTCTACTGCAGGAGACAGGCAATGTTGTGAGGGTGCCATGGTGGCATAGAGCAGGGAGGGGCATTTCAGCCATGACTTCAGGGAGGGACTGGGAGTTAGCCAGATGAGGCAGAGGGGCCAGCATGGGTGACACTTAGAGGTGAGAGGGCATGGTAAGTCAAGGTGCTGAAAGATATGAGTTGTAAATACAATGTGAAGAGTAAATGCCAATAGACAAAGCTGGAGAAGCTAAGTCAAAAGGGCCTTGTAAATGATTTTAAGGAATTAAAACTTCATCCTAATAGCATGTCAAGTTACTGAAGAACTGTAAACAGAGGGGTGACATCATCAAACACACATTCTGGAAGGACCACTCTTGTGGTAGTATGATGAATGGAGCATAGACTAGGATGAGAAGTGGATGGACTCGAGAGCTAATCAGGAGGTAGAATCAACAGGACTTGGTGGCAGGACTTCAGGGCCTCTCTCCTCTTCTCAAAGATGAGACAGACCAAGACCAAGATCTCCCACACGAAGGAGATGTGCTCCCAGTTCAGTCACTTTTTCTAAGAGTGGAGTCACTGCACCAGGATGAGGGCTGTCAGGTGAATAACAGAAAGAGCTACTCAGCATTTTATAGCACAAATCCCCTGGCTTCTTCTACCAATCAATGGCACAGAAAACAAGGAAGAGGGACTATTACAGAATGGGAACATAATGACCAAACGCACACCCTCCTTGCTGTGGAGCTTCTGGCCTAGGAACACTCTCGTCATGCTTTCTTCTTTGTTACTTATGGCATGCCTGTCTTAGTCAATATCAGGGAGGTTCAAGATCTGTCTTAACCCTGGCTTGGAGGGTCAGATCATACAGAACTCAGGGTACCATTTCAATTTTGTCTCCTTTCCCACCTTCTTTTTTTTTTTTAAACAGTGAAGAATGTCAAACAAATGAACTCTAAAAAGATGTTGCTAACACAATCATAAAAAGTTTAATATGAACTGAGCATTAGACAGTTTAAAGAATAATTGTTAACTTTGTTAGATTTGATAATGGCATGATGTCCTAATCAAAGAGATACATACTGAAGTATTTACAGGTAAAATGTCGGTGACTTGGTTTAAAATAATCTAGAAAACATAAAAATAAAATTAAGTGGGAAGAAATAGATGAAACAAGATTGGCAAAATGTTGGTAATAGTTGATGGGTACATGGGGGCTCATTACACTATTCTCTCTTTCTTTAATATGTTTAAATTTTTCTATAATAAAAAGCTATTTTTTAAAACCCACAAGCTATTCTCTCATGGAAGGAGGCTTGGTTAGCTCTTTCTTTCCTTCTCTCACCTAGGAGCCTGGAGGTATATGAGTAGGCCTGGGATCTGTATGCAAGGGGAGAAGGTCTAGCCAGCAGTTTCTCCTCGAACACTCTCTCTCATCTAGCTAGTATAATGGGCGTGCAGGTGGACACAGGACAGACGCTTACCCACCTGCTCTTTTCTGATGGATGTAGCTGGGATTCACCTTTCCTCAACTTACGGCAGTAACATCATAATCTGGGTTTGGGCATAGGGAAGAGAAGCAAAGCCAGCCTTGTGACCTGTCTTAATTTTAGCCTGTCTGGCAAACCTAGCTTAGGTAAAGGAGCTATCTACCTGGTTTAGCCTAAATCATAAGAGTTCTGCCTCAGGGTTTGGGACCAATGCTTCAGTTAGTAATAAAGCATCAATTTGTCTTTCTCCTCTAGGTAAACAGCCTGTCAATAACCTTATAGGCCCCAGTAATTTGTCTGGGGCAAGATTCAAGTATTTTTGGGTTCTTAGCTAACATAGCATCTTATTACCATATGATTATCCCTTCATTACCAGTCACCTTCCTCTGGAGAGCACAATTCTGTGAGAAGAATCTCCTTGTATAATAGTGACTCCCTACACACACACACACACACTCACTCTCTCTCTCTCTCTCTCTCTCTCTCTCTGAGGCTACCTGAGATGCTGCCATGATTACTCAGCCCCTAGACACAGGAGGACAGGAGTGTCTGTGAACAACAGGCAAAAGATTTATGTGAAATGAATTTCTGAGAAGCCATAGAAAGGGAAGACATCTATGTGTCTAGCAGTGATTAAAAGCCAGGAAAAGATCTGAGGCTCATATGGATAGTATAAATATAAATTAATAAAATAATTTCTGAACACTTTATGGAGTCAGACTCATATATCATTCATGCATAAAATCAGACTATGATTGCATATCTACAACAGATATTCATCAGGCATGGATGCTTCTATCTGTACTTGGGATTTCCTTTCCCTTTCAACACTGTCCTTCACATTCAAGTTTTCTGGGGCAGGAGGCACACAGGGATATGAGTTTAATTTAAGCTTGATGCAAGAAAGGACTTACCTGCGTAGAGGGTCACTAGGCTCTGGAGCATTGACTTAAGGAGCCCTTCCCTGGAGGGCTTTAGAAACAGGCCAGCCATCCAATTGTCTGGTATGCTTTGGAAGAAACCTGTTTGAAGTGTGGGGGATCATCGAGATAGCAGCTCCTGATTCTTTTTCCATCAGCCCTTCCCAAAAGTGGCATCCCCAATAAGGGACATAAATCTACCCTGAAAAACCTCTTTCCAGAGCACCCTCCTTGCTGTGGAGCTTCTGGCCTAGGAACACTCTCGTCATACTTTCTTACTTATGGCATCCCTGCCTTAGTCAATATCAGGGAGGTTCAAGATCTGTCTTAACCCTGGCTTGGAGGGTCAGATCATACAGAACTCAGGGTACCATTTCAATTTTGTCTCCTTTCCCACCTTCTTTTTTTTTTTAAACAGTGAAGAATGTTACTTGTGCAAGTCAGAATCTGATACCAATTAAATGGTGACAGCTTTGCCAATAAACAAGAATATGCTCTTCCATGGCTAGGAAGGGAGACTGCCACAGCTGACAGGTCCCAAAGATACATGGAGTCCTTTCCCACCTTCTTAGAGTCTACTTCACCCTGCCTTCAAATACGTCTCCATCCAACAAAGATAACATTCCTTAAGATGTTATCTAAGTTTTGCTCCAATGTTGTTAAGCATGGCAAGCATAAAACAGTTTTACACCTCAAAGAAACATAATTAATAGTCCAAAGAATTATAAAACCCAGGCTAATGTGGTTTTAGTTTGTGCAGTCCAGGAATGTACAGAAACGTGTAGCATGTCCACATGCAAAAAAGGCTCACGTTTACCTCCCACATAATTTGAGACTGAGAAAGAGGCCAGAGCTGGCCTGAAACTGTGATCCTTGATGCAGGCATTATGTTACCCTGTCTAAGGGGCTACAATGGGAGGAAGGTCATATGTCTTGAGGCCCTTTACTAAGGGCTCTAAGGAAAATGACAGGAGCTCAGAAAGAGGAAGCATCTCCCATATCAAGCAGAACTAAGCTCTGAGCCTAGAGCTTCCTTTTAGCTTTGTCAATTCCAGAAGTTCGTGACTTGACATTACGAGATAACTCTTTCAAACTCCATTTGAATTTGTGAGTTAAGATACTTGGGGTTTGTGAATAAGCATATGATGATCCTGGCAATATGGGATTTTCTTGGGGACATCAGACACCATTTCCAAGATCTTATAACTGTTGAGATCCAATCTAATGGTCTCCCAAACCCCTATGCGGAATTGACTATAAGCGACCCCCTCTAATCTATTCATTTTCTTTGGCACCAATAGCAACCTAAAATCTCACCTCTGCACAGACATTGGTCTGAGGGAAACCTTGTTGCCCAAAATTCTACTACTTTCAAACTCTAAGTTACTAAGCTGTGGACACCCTTTATGTCCAAAAGATAAATTGTAATTTTGAAATATCAAATCCATACTCAAAACCTTTTCCTGAAAAAATTACCACCTCCTTTAGGACAGAGTCAATCCTGGAACCCCTTCTAAGGACACATGCTTCCCTTGAACTGCCTCTCGATACCAGGCCTCCCCACCCAATTCAGACCTCTCCCAACTTTAAAGAAAATGTTTTGTTTTTTTTAAGGGGTGGCTGCTCCTCTTTTCAGTGTCTCTTCCATTGCAAGAATACCTTCTTTCCACCTATGCTCCCTTCCAGAGCACAGCCATCTTCCCCTACACTCCAATACATTCTCCCTATCAGAAAACATGCTCCTCTACAGGACAACTGCTAGTCAAGTGCCATTCTCTCCTGTTCTCTGTCTCCTTTCCTGGCTTTTCCCTGAATTTCTAAGATTGGAAGAATAAAATGCTTTCCACAATTCCAAAACAAACCTGGGTTTCCACTGGGTAGAGTGCTGAGGATAGAAGAGTAAGCAAAGCAACCTCAAGCGAGAAGGCAGAAAAGAAGAAAGCAAAAGGTTAGAGGACATAAAAGCTGCTTTCCATGATCTGAGTCCTGCCCTGAGAATCTCTACTCAGCAGAACCTTCTTAACAGCACAGCTTAACAGAGACACAGCCATAGTCTCAACCTTCTCTCATAATCTGGGGACACCTCTGAATGTCACACCAACCCAAAATATCATTCTCTTTTACCACTTTCTGACCTAGGGAATAAAATCTCCTAGTCTAGGGGCCTGCTTCCCTCATCTGCCTTCTCCTTGTACATCTGTCCTTAAAATGTTGGCTTAGAGGCCGGGCATGGTGGTTCACACCTGTAATCCCAGCACTTTGGGAGGCAAAGGTGGGTAGATCACTTGAGGTCAGGAGGTCAAGACCAGCCTGGCCAACATGGTGAAACCCCATCTCTACTAAAACTACAAAACATTAGCTGGGCATGGTGGCGCGTGCCTGTAATCCCAGCTACTCAGGAGGCTGAGGCAGNGCGTGCCTGTAATCCCAGCTACTCAGGAGGCTGAGGCAGGAGAATTGCCTGAACCCAGGAGGCGGAGGTTGCGGTGAGCCGAGATCGCGCCAGTGCACTCCAGCCTGGGTAACAAGAGCGAAACTCTGTCTCAAAAAAAAAAAAGACAAAAAATTAGCCAGCCATGGTGGTATGTGCCTGTAATCCCAGCTACTCTGGAGGCTGAGGCAAGAGAATCGCTTGAACCTGGGAGGCAGAGGTTGCAGTGAGCTGAGATCATGCCATTGCATTCCAGCCTGGGTGACAGGGTGAGACTCCATCCCCTCCTCACCAAAAAAGTTGGCCTAGAAGAGCAGATTGCCTATTCTGAGGCATGCACACCTAAAATAGTACCTATCTTCCTGCCCTAAGGAAGTTTCTTAACCTAAAATGATCACTCAAAATTTATCATACCTAGTCCATTCCATGCTATGGAGCAGACATCATTCTAAAAGTATTCACTCATTTAGCAGATATTGAGAGTCTACTCTGCTCAGGGCACTGTGCTGGGTCCTAGTAATATAATGGAGCCCCTTCTCTTTTGGAACAAACAGTCTAGCAGAAAAGACAATAAATCAACCAATAATCATTAAGTATGATAAAGGCTGTAATGTGGGGAAGGAAGGTCAGAGCTCAATACTGTGATATTACATAGCAGGTACACCTGACTTCATCCAGAGAGAGTCCTGGAAGGCTTTCCAAAGGAAGTGACACAAGAACTGAGACTAAGGATATGTAGGAGTTAGCCAGGAGATGAGGAAGGGAAAGAGTGTTCAAATCAGAGGGAACCATGGTAGGAATGACTGGAGGTGAGACAAAACATGGTGGGTGATTTGAGAAACTTGAATGAATGAATATGATATTTGATATATTCATTATATTTCTAGTCAGTGTTTCCATTTGAAAAGTCATTCTTCAGCCAATAAATTCCCACTACAGAGAAGAAGGTTGAAAGAAAGAGGATGCCTCATTTTTTCACATAACTTCTACCTAATTAGCAGCATTGCTGTGAGACATCCCAGGACTTACCGCCCAGTGCGCTGAAGTTCTGGCCCACTGTGACCCCCGTGTGGCTCCTGTTCTATGTGGCAAATATTTCCATTTGGAACTCCAGGCATTTTCCTTTTCTCCTTTTAACAGAAGACCACAAAATTAGTAAAGTTAACATCTATTTCTCCCTTCTGCTATCAGAGGGGAGTGGTAATGGGATAACCCAAAAGCAACCAAAAATGCCCAAGTGTAGCTTTCAAATTCATTAACTGACTTGATGCAGTTTATCGACTTTACTGAAACACACACACACACACACACACACACACACACACACACACACACCCCGCATAATGTCGCCTACTGTTCCATAGTACCTGACTCCTAACTATGCCTTGCCAGCAAATAGAAAAATGAGGACTTTGGCATCAGATGTGACCTAAGTTCCAGTTTCAAATCTGCCTCTGTGCAATCTTACTTTATCTTAAAATCTTGCCCTAGAAGATAGTTTTATTCCTTATTTGTAAAACTAGAGATAATAGTACCTTTTGAGGGATGTTCCTGGGAAGGCTGAATTTGCATACATAAATCACCTGGCTGGTGCCTAGTACACAGTAGGAGCTCCTTTCCCATCTTTAATATGTCAGAAAAATATCAGATACTCTATTTGCTCTCTCTATACAACTTGCTCTTTTCCTTTGATGACTTATATACAATGTAGTCCCAGTAAATGTTCTCTCTTCTTCTCTTCTCTGCCATTTCACATCAGTCCTTCAAAATTTGGCTTAAAATCCATCCCCAGGTAATCCCAACTGACACCATCACACCTGAGCCCTGAGCCAATTTATGTTATCCAGATTCTTTTTTATTTTTTTTTTTTAAGATGGAGTCTCACTCTGCCACCCAAGCTAGAGTGCAGTGGCACCATCTCAGCTCACTGCAACCTCAACCTCCTGGGTTCAAGTGATTCTCCTGCCTCAGTCTCCTGAGTAGCTGGGATTATAGGCACCACAATGCCCAGCTAATTTTTGTATTTTTAGTAGAGACAGGATTTCACCATGTTGGCCAGGCTGGTCTTAAACTCCTGATGTCAGGTAATCCAGCTGCCTTGGTGTCCCAAAGTGCTGGGATTACAGGCGTGAGCCACCACACCCAGCCCAGAATAATTTTTATTACTGTTTTGACATTCTAGGTGTACCAAAACAGGGCTGCATCTTGATATATTTAGCATATACCCACATGGTCTTTGCTTTGTCCATGGTGGGCAGTCAGTAAGTGACAATAGTCACACTGGGTAATGTGCATACATTACCTGGGAAGGGACGTTTTTGGGTGGCTCAATTCTAATGGAGGGATCCCACTCTCCTGGAGGGAGCACCGTCACCTGGTCAAGGAACTCGTCAATCCCTGCCAGGAGATCATCTCGCTCTTTTGCCTTATATGCTACATCATGAAAAATCTACAGAGAAGAAAAAAAACCCTCAGGAAACTTAAGAGAAACTTTACATGAAACAATCACCAATGGATATGGTAAAAAATGGATAAAACCTCTTGATTTTTATCTCTATTATGGGGATCTGAGATGCAGAAACTTTAGCACCTAGAGAAGTGTAAGGATAAAAGGATTTAAAACACAAGTGTAGAAATGAGATGCATCAAAAAGAACTATATATATGTCTGCTAGTATAAGAAGAGATAAGACATGACTCTAAAGGTGTAAAAATATGTTATCTCCACAAAGGATGGAAGGAAAAGCAAGATGTACGAAAAAAATATTTTTTTAATCAGCTTTCCCAGGTTGAGAGGAAAATTTTCTTGATCATAACGGTTGGAAACACTGGCTAGAATTACTAGTGAAGGTCCTCCACAAATTAAGCCTCTCAATCAAAGAAAGCTGATAAAAAACAGGCCACACCTCCTTCTTCCCCCTTAAGGCATATGCCTTGAAAGTCCTACTTTGCAGCTTACAGAGTGGTACAGTTCTTTCCAAAGTATGCACTGTGGGTTCAATACAATGTCAAAATATCTGGTTGTTTTGGTGCAGACTAGTCAAGACATTCATACTACACTGCCTGAGGTCATACCCATGAGCTTATACAAACTGATCTCATTTAGTGGAACAGGAGTGAGGTTTCTTTATGTAAATAGCTTGAATGTATTTAATTAACCATCTTCTCTTGAAAGTTAAGCCAACCTTAATATATTTCTCTATATATCCTACTTGACAGTAATAGTTTCCCCAGAAAAAGATTTCTCTGCATCCTTGACTACTCAAAAAATGAGAGTTAACATAGGAAGAAAAATCCTCTAGAGCTTGGTCCTTCTACACTAGGCTCTCAGTTGAACTACTTCCCAGCAGACATTGCAATGGAAAGTATTTTATCCCCAACAACTAGCACAGTGCCTGGCACAGAGTAAACATTCAATAAATACTTATGAGATGGAAGAAATGAAGCAGAAGTTGCACATACCTCATCTGTCATGATGGTGGCCATGGATCTGCCAATCTCATGGTACTGCTGACCTTTCCCTACTGGACCCAATAAGATAAACAAAAATCTGGCAAAACATACAGAGGAGGAAATGATGTAAATAAATATAAAGGAGTGCCATCTTAGTCCTGTCTAAATAGCATAAGATTTCTCTCTCCTGTCATACAGAAATCATCACTGTACCTTCAAAAAAAAAAAAGGAGACAGTAATGAAGGAGGACTTTGAGTTGCCTTGACCTAATAATAGCTCCACTATGGGCATTCGATGCTATTGTGTGGCATCATTCAACAATGTGGTTATATCTCTTATGGTTTCTATAGACACAATTCCCAGCTGCAGAAAAGATGTTTTTTCAAAACATGGCATTGTGGTGCAAATTCAGGGTTATCTGAATTCCATTTATTTTTCTAACAAGAAAATGATGGGGAGATGAGAGGGATAAGAAGGTTGAAATGATCAAGCCTTACAGAGGAGTCTAAATTGTGTTCTGGACATCTGAATACTCCCTGTAAGTAGCAGGGCTCTGAATCACCAGCATCACCACCTTCAGAGCATATGAATAGCCTTTTGAACAAATATGTGCACATCTGCAAACCATATAAACCCTGCCAGAATTGTGTAAAGAAAAACAAATACCTTTATTAAGAGACGTTTCCCTGCGATATGGCTTTATAGAACTGAGAAGATAACGCTTGACTTCCTATTTTAACAAGTTATTGGCCCTTGCTATGTCCTTTGAATGCTCTTCAGTTCTGTATTTCCAGGGCTATCGGTGCTGTGCAGTCACAGCCTCAGAAATCTCAGAATTTCTCTTCATGGTAGTTAATCAAATATACCTCAATTTTCTGAGATTACTGCTGATTTTTTTTTTTTAAGACAGGGTCTGACTCTGTTGCCCACACTGGTTTGCCATGGTGCAATCCTAGGATTCTAACTCACTGCAGGCTCAAACTCCTGGGCTCAAGTAATCCCCACACCTCAGCCTCTCAAGTAGTTGGGACTAGAGGCACACACCAGCACATCTGGCTTTTCTGCTGAATTGTAAACACCATTCCTAAAATTAATTAATTCTAAATTTCAATATTAACTGGTTTCTTCTACCAGTACTGCATAAATTTGAACTTTGGATAGAATGCATGAGTTATATCTTTGCCTTTACCTTGTTGGGATTGGCACTTCTGTTAGGCCGGAGAGAAGAACAGCTGGAGACAGCCTCACAAAGGCAACAATGGGACGGTCCAAAATATCCACCTCGCCAACCAGGACATTGGAGGCCTCAGCCCCAGTAGGAATTTTTTTCATGAAATGAAGGTCTACCTAAAAGTCCAAAAGAATCCTCTGACAACTTGGGAACCACCACCTTAAATACCATTTTTAAATTTTTTTATTTACTTTTTTTTGAGACAGAGTCTCACTCCGTCACCCACGCTGGAGTGCAGTGGCACGATCTCAGCTCAATGCAACCTCCACCTCCCAGGTTCAAGCAATTCTTGTGCTTTAGGCTCCCTAGTAGCTAGAATTATAGGCATGCACCACCATGTCCAGCTAATTTTTCTGTATTTTTAGTAGAGATAGAGTTTTGCCATGTTTGCCAGACTAATCTCAAACTCTGGCCTCATGTGATCCACCTGCCTCAGCCTCCCAAAGTGCTGAGATTACAGGTGTGAGCCACTGCACCTGGCCCTATCACCTTAAATATTAATCACCCTCCTCATACCTTACACTCATGTCATTTTACAGTTAGCAAACATTTTCTCACACTATTTTATTTTATCCTTACAAAAACCCCAGAAGGAGGATATGACAGATTGTATTTGTCCCACTTAAAGAAAAAAAATGAAGCATCTGAAACCTAGAGAGGTGAAGTTGACTTGCCCAGGACCACAGAGCTTTTAAGGTATAGATTCAGATTTTAAAACTAGCTATTCTGATTTCAATCCCATTCCTCCAAGCTTCCTCCGAGAGAAGTGTTTCTGAAGCTCTGGGTCACATTCTTTCCCTTTTTAAATACTCAAAGGTTTTGTCAGAGGTTTCAGGTTTTCTAAATAAAATGAAGAGCCTTAAGAGCAGAGAAAGTGCTATGACACTATCTGTGTTTTAGAAACGCAGGGTTAAAGATAGACCAGAACAAGCCGGGCACGGTGGCCCACGCCTGTAATCCCAGCACTTTGGGAGGCTGAGGTGGGTGGATCACGAGGTCAAGAGATCGAGACCATCCTGGTCAACATGGTGAAACCCCGTCTCTACTAAAAATACAAAAAATTAGCTGGGCATGGTGGCACGTGCCTGTAG